AGTGGGAGCAGCAGTCAGAGCGCCGGCTTCAGCTGCCCCAGTGGGCAACAGGAACACAGGACAAAGCTGGCCAGGAGCTGGCGGGCTCTGTGTCTGCCTGGTGCCTGGCTTTTGCAGGGGACCCTGGGCTGAGATCTTCAGGGTGACCTGCCTGGGTGGGCTGGGGCCAGATGCTGAATGGCCACCCAAAGGTGTGAGTGTGCCTTGTCCTCGAGTCCAGGGCTCTGAGCCCCTGGGTTGTGGCTGCGAGGCTGCTGGTGGCAGCAGGAACACTGTCCACAGGCTGCAACCCCTACAAGTGCCTGTCCCTCATGGGCTTTTGGCTGCCAGTCAGGGACGAGCCGGGCTGCTCTGCTGCCCAGGTAGGGGAGTGGGCAGAGGAGAGAGAGCTCTGCACCCTCCCACAGGCTGGCCGTTCTCATTCCAAGCTACTGACCACCAGACCCAGAGAGCCACGTGGGGGGAGGGGCACTTCTCCCTACCCGAGGGGTCTCTGACCAGCTCCCCCCAGATAGGGTCCCCACAACAGCTTTACCTAGAGTTGCAAAAAGGGATTCCGGCCAGAGCCCAGATGTTCCTGCCATCAGCTTCCTGGGGTGAACTAGGGAGCTGGCTAGGGAGGCAGGCGGTGCTGGGGGCGGAGGACAGGTGGAGACAGAGCCCAGCCCTTGAGAGCTGCAGGTGTGACCATGGACATGACTCAGGGCTACGAGGAGACCCTGCAGCTGGGCGAGGTGGGAGGGGACAGCAGGGGCAGGAGCCAGTGCCTGGGGCCTGCCTGCTCAGCCAGAGCTGCCTGTGGAGGGGCAGGGCTGCATGGGGGCAGCGCATGCTGCTCACACTTCCCCAGAGAGGCAAGCAGGAGGGGCAGGAAATGTGGGGAGCCCAGCAGACCTTCCCAAGGGGGTGCATCTTGGGGGGCTGGCCCTGGCTATCAAGCCCAGGCAGGGCCAAGTCCTGCAGCTCCCTGAACCTGCAAGGAACCCACAGCAGACAAGATCAGAGTGGGTCATGATCCCACGAAGCAGAGCTGCTAAGGGCATCTGTCCCCCCAGCACTGGCAGATGAGGCACCAGTCCCCTAAGGCGAACTCCCCTTCACCCTCTCCACTAGCCAGAGCCTCCTCATCTGAGCCACCAACAGCCCCTCCCAGACGAAGCTACGTGGACAGAGTCAGTCAGAGCTGCGGGCCTTGCGTCTCAAGGACAGAGGTGGCCCACCCCATCCAGTGTAGCCTCTCCAGGCCCCAGGGCAGCCTGAGCCAGGGCAAGTGGGAGAGCAAAGCCTCAGAACTGGCCCCAGTGGTCACGTGGAAAGGGCCTGGCCACCAGACTTCCCTGCCTCGGGGAAAAAGGCCACCTGTCCCTGCCTGGGTGCAGCCCACCACAGTTCTGTGGCCCTCCCTCATGTGGCAGCCTGCCTAGGCTGCCAGCTTTGCCAGCACTCAGGGAGTGTCAGTGTCTGCCACACCCTCACAGCCACTCTCCCCAGCAGACCCACCCCCTCTAGGGAGTCCTTCCCGGCCTGGGGTCAAGCCAGTTCTCCCCCGCCTCAGTCCCGGCCTCACCACGTCCCTTGTGTGTGACCCAGACCTGGAGGGATCGGGGTACCCTGCCCTTCTCTCTCTGAGCTGTGGGGCTCTCTCCCAGCTCACTCTAGCTCCTGCTGACCCCCTACTGGCTCTGTCAGCTCCCAGGGCACTGTGCACCCCAGCAGCCATTAAAGCCTCAATATCACCCCTGCTAGTGCCAGGCCAGTGCCAGAGGACAACAATCACTTGCTCAGCCTGTCAATGAGCTCTACAGCTTCACTGGCTCTGGCCCTGGCCCTGTCTGGAGGCAGGGGACCTCCCTGAGCTGCTCCTTGAAAGAGACCAGCCTCTCTGCCCTTTCTGTTCCTCCCTGAGCCCACAGCTTCCAGAGCTTTCCTACGCAGAGCTGTCTGCTGCTGAAAGTCCTTAGAGGAGGCAAGGATGTGGCCTCCATGAGACAGAGGAGAAAATCAAGGCCTGGAGAAAGGAAGGGGCCAGGTGGGACCAGCACCAAGGAGCCGACTCCCACTCGGGGCGCCTCCAGGTCAGGGCCTACAAGAGGGTGGGAGCCTGTGTTCACCAGAGCACCCACCAGCTGCCAGCCTCTGTCCCCCGAGAGGCATTCTGAGGGACAGAGAGGTTAGGTTACTCCCGGGGTGTCTGAGCAGGGGCTTCCAGCCTTGGTTCCAGAGTGGGCATCTAAAGCGTTGCCTGGGCTGGACGGAGGCTTCTGGGCTGAGGCTGCAGAGCACAGAGGGGAGCTGGTAGGGGTCCTTCCCCCCTGTGACACCTCCTGTCTCTCCTTGTGTGCCCCACTCCTACTCCTGCAGTAAGGAAGGCTCAGCATCAAAGTGCTCAAATAGTCTCCCCGTGTCACTCCTTGCCAAAAATCCTCACAAGGATTGCCACCATTGCCAATGTAAGGCCTGACCCCTTGGCCAGAGACATGAAGCTCTTTGCCAACTGGCCAGTGCCAGCCTTTATGGCCTCTCTGCCCATTGCTTCCCCATGTCCCCAACAGGCTAACCACACCAAACTGTGTTCCCACTCTGGGGAAGAGCAGAGCACAGCTCAGAGGCCCACTCGGTGACCAGCTATAGGTTGAACCGGACACGCCCACACACACACTACACAAATGTGTGGAGGTGGATGCACGCCTTTGGGTAGAAGCCCACCACCCACCTGCATGAGGATTTCTGTCAAATCACACACACAGTGGAGCTGTGAAATCTGAGCCAAGAAGGGACAGACAAATCTCCTTTATGGATCCCTAGAGAGGCCAAGTGCGGTCATACCACCGTCCCCAAGCCCTTGAGGGGCAGTAGGGAGGCAGGAGTGGATCCCCTTCCTGGGCTCCCTGGGCTCTGAGCCCCAGAGGGGAGGCAGAGCATGGTCAGACAGGTGCCAACCAGGTTCTCATCTGGCTCTGTGGCAGCCCCACTGTGCAGCCCCAGACAAACCACCTTCCCTGTTTCTCTAGCTATAGAACAGAGGGACTTGGATTAGGTGACACCACAGGGCTGTCTAGGCCTGCCCATCTGCTCTCAGTTCATGCCAGGTACAGAGAACACAGGGCTTGTGAGGATGGCACCAGTCAGGGCGCTGGGCGCCCTACACAGCAAAGGCCTCCAGCTGGGCCAGAGATTTCAGCGGATGGCTGTGAGGTCGGTGCAAGGGCAGTGAGACCCTGAGACTGGAGAGAGAAGCCAAGAGCTTCGGGATGGGCACAATTCTTACCGCCTATAACTGACGTTTATGGAACAATGATAAGTCTCGCTGAACACTCACCACACAAGGTTTATCACAGATTTTCACCTATATTGTGGCCAAACATAGCCTTTCTCCTCTGTGGAGCACCAAATGAGCAAATCTAATAGGTTAGGACCAGTCCAGCCCCTGGCCTCCCAGCCCCCACAAACAGGCTTGGGTCAGGGGCCTGGTGGCACAGTGGGAGCTGCTAGTAAGACCCCACCAAGCCCACCCCCTTAGCAGGTGTGCCATGAGTGCAAGACAGTGCATCCCCTGGCTGAGGGTCTGTGTGCACACACAGATCAGCCCCCTCTCAGTATGCCAATGCCAACATTCATGTGATCCCCTGTTTCTCACTGCACACCTGTGCACACTGGGGACGTGCAGCCAGATCCTCCCCACAGCCCCAGCATGCCCAGTGACTGGTACTCCAGCTTCCAGGGACAAGGACCAAAGCAGGGCCAAGGCGACCAGAAGGTTGTTGGAAGGCACTGCCATACAGGGAAAAAGACAATGTCCCCTAAGACCATGACCCCTCACTGGCAGGCATTCTCTGCCAGGAAGGAGGCAGTGCTAACTCTGCACCCCAGAGGGGCATGGACTCCCCTGTTCCCCAAACCTCCCTTGCCCCCAGAGCCCGGCCCACCATGCTCTCCTCCCTCCCAAGCCCCAGCCTGCATGATGTGAGCCACATTCCCAGATCACAGACAGTCTGCAGGCTGGGCTGTCCACAGCCCATCTGGGGAAGGGGTGCTCTTCCCAGGGGTAAGGCACGCCAGCCCGGGCCCAGAGACCCTCCCACCCTCAGAGAGGAAGGGACGGCTGGGGTAGGGGAGGCACCAGCAGGAGCAGCCCCACGCCTCGCTGTTCTCTATGGCTTTTTATTCCTATGTGATTCTACTGCTCACTCATATAGGGATTGGAGCCGTGGCGCACGGCGGGGGCAGCCAGCAGAGGGCTGGGACGCTGAGCAAGGGGGCCCAAGGAGAGCTAGGACAGCAGCCCCTCCCCCCCGGAGCACGGGCTGCTAGCCCAGCCAAGGAAGCCCCTCTTCTGCTGCCCTCCTCCTCACTGGCCTCTTCCCTGGCCGGCCCTACCAGGGGAGAGACAGATGGCTGCTGGACCCCATCATTTCTATGACCCACCAAATGCCAGCACTCAAGACCCCCACTGCAAGGCTGGTACCAGCAGCCAGACTGTGTCCCCAGAGAAGCAGCTGAAGGAACTGAGGGAACTGAAGGTGTTCAGCCTGGAAAATGGGCCTGGTACATGGAAACAAGGTCCAGCACCCTGTGTGGCTGGGGTAGCCTGATAAAGAGGGCAGCTCAACCAAAGGTGTGGTGTGTGCTGAGGGCTGTCCAAAGACAAGGGAGGGATGTCCTTGCAGGTAGTAAGCACGGACCCAGTGAGGCCACAGCAGAGGCCGGAAAGACCACAGCAGGTATGCCACAGGGGGGTCACAGCTGCCCGGTGGCCAGTCTCTCCCAGGCCCCACAGACCAGTCCTTAGGCCCATCCTCCCTGGTCTCTGCTTGTCTGCACTGAGCACGTCGGGAGCATGAGGCTCACCCCTCCCAGGCTCCTGTTTAGGGGGAACAGTGCTGAGTGCCCTGCAGAGAAGTGTGGGAACTCCCACAGGTCCTGGCACTGGGGCTGCAGCCCAACCCTACTCACCGTCCCAGTGGCTCCCCAGGCATCTGCTGTGAGGAAGATGCATCAAGAACCCACACTGTGATCCTTTTATTTTCAGTCCTTCTTGCTTCAGTCCACAGAAAAGCAGGCTCAGGAGCTTGGCAGAGGGGCTCCTGAACTGGCCAAGGGGCTCAGCCTGATCCTCAGGGGTTTCTGCTGCCATGGCAGAGGGTAAGGGTGGAGAAGAGCCCCCAGCTGCCAGTCTGATTGCGGGAATGGACATGGGACAGAAGGCCTGGGTAGGAGGTAGGCGGTCCAAGCAAGCACCCAGCATCAAGGAGAGGAGGGGCCCTAAGGCCTGGTGAGGCCTGGGGACCAACCCTGGTCTACCCAGGACACTGCCCTGTGGGCTACCTCTGGACTCCTAAAACCTGTGCCATCACCGCGGCCGCAAGAACAGGAGGTGGATGTCCATTACATTGGTGCCAGTCAGCCCCGTGCACAGCAAGTGTGCCCCGCCATGGAAGCAGCGGAAGAAGGTATGTGAGTCATTGTGGGCCAAGAAGGTGGCTACATCCAGGCCCTCAGCAGTGGCCTGGCCAGTGAGGTCAGACATGACCCAGGCCCCAGCCGCCTCTGTGGGCCCATCCTGCCCATCGGTGCCACCGCTCAGAAACAGCACGTCAACAGACCCCAGAGGCCGTCGTCCCAGCTCTGCTCCAACACGCAGGGCCAGTTCCTGGTTCCGGCCCCCCATGCCTGAGCCCTGCAACTGCACTGTGGGCTCGCCCCCCGCCAGCAGGCAGACAGGGCCCTCCGTCCCCACCACGGCCTCCAGGGCCTCTCTCAGCTGCAGGTCTGGGAGCCGGAGCTCAGACATCAGCTCATGGAATTGTTCATCCTCCTCCTCCACAGAGGCCCCTGCCCCAGGCAGAGTGAGGTGGGCCCCAGCCACTTGGGCCAGCAGCCCGTAGAGCTGGGCCACACTTCCTACGTCACCCTGCATGGCTGTACTCAGCACCACGGCCCGGTACCCCAGCGCCTCAGCCTGCCTCTGGGCCTCGGCCAGTGCCAGTGCATTGGAGCCAATGACCACGTTGAGGACGTGACCACAGGCGTGTGGCCCATGGGGGTCTGAGTCAGCCCGAGCCAGCACGGTCTTCACAGAACGTGGCAAGGCAGCACGCAGGCCATAGCGATTGAGGATGTGCAGGCAATCTTGCACGCTGTGGATGCTGGCCACAGTGGGGCCACTGGCAATTACCTCCACTGGGTCCCCCACCACGTCTGACAGAATCAGGCTCACCACCTGGGGAAGGGTTGCAGAGGCATGGCTCAGTCTCACCTGCTCCCCACCCCAGAGCCCATGAGGACAAACTGCTCCCCGCTCACTGCATATTCACAGGCCTTCACGTGGCCCAGTGCACTTCCCCACCCTTTTCTAACCTCTCTCAAGTGGGTCTGCACAACACCTGGCCATGTGGACAACTCCTCAACCCTCTCTGCGGCCCCTCTCTGCCAACTCTGTGGACTCCCACAGCAGGCCCTTCCAAACTGTATGTTCTGGGGTTTCATCTCCCTAGCACACGTGGGCCTGGCTCTTCCAGCCCAGGGCAGCCTGGGGAAAAAGTAACCCACACACCTGGGCTGGGTAGGCAGCCTGAGCCAGGCCCCCTCCCTTGAGCTGCGAGAGAGCCTTCCGGATGGTGTTCAGCTCCTGGATGGTGGCTCCACGGGCTGCCAGCAGCTTGGTGAGTGTCTGCTTCTCCTCCAGGGTGACAGGTGGAATGGGGGCAGGCAGCAGAGCAGAGCCGCCACCTGCAGAGACAGCAGAAACTCCGGGCAGAGGGGATGGACAGCAAAGGGACTTCCTTGGCCATGGAAGCAGACAAGAAGGGCCCCCATAGGAAGGACGGCTGGAGGAGGTGGTGAGGGTGCCCCCGTGCGGACATGGGGTAAAGGAGCAGCCACCACAGCCTGGCACCTGAAGCTGTGCCCTGCCCTGGAGTAGTCCTGGTTCCAGCAGGCATGGGAAAAACTGCTCAGAGAGAGCCTGGAATAAGGGGCAAACCAGGAGGAGGGTACAGAGAGCCACAGACGGGGCTGTGTGGGTGACACTGGTGCAGACAGCAATAGCAGTGACTCCTTGCAAAGCCCTGAGTTACAAGGTCAATGAAGGGGAGGATCCCACGGCTCAGGGGAAGCCAACAACCTGCTCAGTGTCCCCCAAGAGCCACTGTCCAGACTCCTTTCTGCCTCCCTTGTTCTGTGACCCTGGGGCTCAGATGAACAGTATCTCGTAGACCTGATATTTGGTACCCCCAAACCGCCCTGAGCCATTATCACACCCACACCTGAGATGAGCACAAGCAGCAGATCATCAGCTGTGAGACCTTCAGCCAGCTGCCGGATGGCCAGTGCAGCCCGCAGAGCATCACGGTCCGGCAGGTTGTCCTCCGCACCCTCAAATACCTGGACACGACTGTGTGGCTTCAGCAGCATCTCTCTGAGGAAAGAGAACAGAGAGCATGAGGTGGGTGGGCTCCTCTCCTCCCACCTGATGTCCCAGCTGTGCAGGGGAAGGGGGCATGAACAAGGGTGCCCACTGATGCCCATCACAGACAAGTCAGACCCAGAAGAAAAGGGAAACTTGTGATGAAGGGAGGCCCCCATCCAGACTGAGCCTGGGCCCAAGTTCCCCTCCAGATGGACAGTGGGGAACAGCCCCCCAAGGCTCCTTACTGCTTGCCGGCATGCTCCATGGCAGCACTGATCCCCCTGGGAACGCTGATCACACCCTGCACGAGATGCTGGCCCAGAAGCTCCTCAGCTGCAGCTGCCATCCCCAGCACAGCCTTGCCAAAGCCCACCAGGTAGAGGTTCTGCCTCAGCTGAAAGCTCCGGTCTCGCACCTTCAGCTGTCTGCCGCCAGGGTCCAAAGACAGTGTCCGGTGCAGCATGGGACCCGGCAGCACAGCACCCACAGCGCTCTCAAACAGCTGCCGTGCCTGCTCAGCCAGGGCCATGCCACTGGCCAGCCGGGCCATTGGGCTCCCCAAGAGGAGCGGGCGCAAGGGTGCTCGGGCCAAGCAGGCCAGGACTTGCAGGCCTGCAGCCATACCCCACTGCTCTCAGCACCACCTGGCACCCATGGCTGCCTAGAGAGAAAGCACTAGTGAGGCTGTTTCAAGGCCAGAGGCAGGAGGCCCCCGCACAGCCACCCCACTGAGGGCTCAGGGCTGGTGGACCCCACAGCTGCTGCTGCAAGAATGGGTCAACCGCCAGCCCAAGGAGACCTCGTGAGGTCCACAGCTGCCTGCTCTCACTTCAATCCTTGGAGCCCAGGCCTGCAACCCAGCCATGTCCTCCTCGTCCACGGGCCACATGCTGGCCCTCTGGACACTGCCCCATGTCCAAAGGTTCTGTTGGCTGAGCCCTCCTCCTATGTCACCCTCTTTGACCGAGAGTTAATCATTCACAGAGAGCAATTCCTGTTAGTGGACTGGCACCCACCCCTTCCTCAACCCCTGCACTTGCGAGCCCTCACCATAGCACCCCTTCCTGACTCTCCTTCCTGCCTCTTTGCCACTCTGTTGCCAGAATTCTGATGATTGTCCCACCAACTGACCCTGAGCCCAGTGACCTCTGTCTGCTCTACTTCATTAGCTCATGGGTCTGAGCTGGGGAGCCTGGGTGGGTTAGGTCTGTGTCAGGGGGCTGTAGGCTCACCAGAGCACGACTGGCAAGCCCAGAGCACATCCTCTGGGCACAGGGCCTGAGGAATCCCAGTTCAGCAAGAGGTTCAGGTTTAAATCGGGGTGGTGACAAGTCTGGATCATGGTGGACTCTTAGGGAATTCCCTAGACACCACATGGGGCCATGTACCATGGGGCCCAATCTGCAGGACAGAAAAAGCTGCCCTCCCACCTACATGGCCAGGCCCACTCCTGCCAAGAACATGCCTTTTGGCTCTGACATAACAAGTCCTGGGTCATGCTACCCACAAAGGTGAAAACCAAGTGGCTCTGGCAGGCAAAGGCCAGGCTCCCACAGCTGAAGCCGAATAGTCACTTTCTCTACTGGGCAGGGTGAAGGTCAAGAGGCTGTGGAGAAGTTCGGGGATAATAAAACCCCAAAGAGCTCATCTCTCAAAGGGCAACTTATAAATGTCCACCATAAATGCTGCCAGCTGACTGCTGTGGACAGAGCAGGGGAAGGAGGCTGGGGTTCAGGCCCTAGGTCTACCACAGGGACAGCCGTTTGTCATGGGCTTGATGTGAAAAACGACAAGTAGGATGAGATGAAGACTAATTAATGCTCTCCTCTTGAAGTCTTGGGGCTCTATGAAACTGTCCCCTGTTAACAGAAAACTTGGACGCCAAACACCACTTTATCCCACACTCAAGCAACCTGGCAACATGTAGCCCTCAGCCACTTAGCCTGCATGGTTCTCAGCTTTCCCATAAGAGACCAACCCTGCCTGACCCCAGCTGTGGGGGCGCCGCCATAAAAACTCCGAAAAGGGACCCACCTTATGCCAGGGGACCCCTGGAGCTGGCCCATTAGAAATGGAGCTAAAAGCGGCTTAGCATCTAGCAACTGCTGATATTGACAGCCCGGGTGAATTCTGTACCTGTTTCCCAGATGGACAACAGGCCTAGAGGCTCCCAGCCTTGCTACTGGATACCAGAGCCCAAGGCAGCGGTGCGCTCAAGGCTAAGGCTGCCAGACAAAACAGAGGACACGCAGTAAATCAGCTGCAGGTAAACGAGGAATTTTTTAAATGTTAAATATATTCCCTATGATATTAGGGATGTATTTTCACTAAAACATTTGTTCCGTAGCTGAAGCTCTCTTTTAACTAGACGTCCTGTATATTTATTTGCTAAACTAAGCACCTCTCCTCAGGTCACCGTGTCTCAGGTCGCCTGCCGCTCCCGCACGGCCCGCAAGGACCCAGAAAACCGCGTGACTCCTCTCCGCCGCCGCCAGGTGGGGCTGGAGCTATTGCCGACCTCCCCCAGCCCGCCCGCGCCCCGGAAGTGACGTCCGCCTCAGGCCTACGCGAGGGGCATGGCTGATGTGAAACGCCCGCTAGTGACCCGAGAAACAAAGACCCGCCGCCGACTGGGCCTGCAGTTCCCCGGCCCAACACTGCTTCCCCCAGCCCTCACAGCTCGAACTTACTGCCTCACAGCCACCGGGCCGCGGCTTCCTGAGCTGGGGACCGGAAACACCCGCGGAGGAGGGGCGGTGGGGACCAGGCGGTCCCGGAAGCGTGGGGGCGGACCCGGAAGGTGTGGGACGCCGGGTGCGAGCCGAGAAGGGTCGGCGTCGCGAAGGCTGCGGGGTCGTGCGGTGAGAACGCTGGCCTCGCCCTCCCTGACGTCCAGGAGACCTGGGTGGAATCCTTTTCAGGCCCCAATTTCCTCGTCTCTCCTACGCGGTGGTAATCCGTCTCCCCCTACCCCCGCTTTATCCCGTAGGATCCAATCCGCTGGGCTCCTGGTAGGTGTCGGCACTGGACTGAGCTCAAAACCCACCCCTTTTGGAGCCAGTTTAAGTCATCTCCACCCCTCCCCTCTGCTGTAACCCCACAGCTCGGTGTTCCGTCCACTTCCTGGACTGCCAACTAACGGGATGGACTGGGCAAGAGTTCGATTCCATGATCCTCAAGACAGGCTGCGTAGAAACACGAATGATCCTGGGCCTCCTTCACTGCCCCTGTTCCCCTTGAACCCACCCTGAGCCTGGCTCGATAAAACTTTCCCACAGGCGAAGACAAGTCCTGACCAGACTCAAAAGACAGAAGAGTGCAGTTTTTACTAGTACTTCCTTGGGGAGGTGGGGGAGGGAGGGAATTATATGATAAATCACACAGCTAACCTCCCCCAAATTGTAAAAGATGTTTCTTCCCACACGCTCCCTTCAGCAACTGCCACATCTTTTCCACAGTTCTCCAAACTATGCTCGGCTCTTGTCATGAATTCCTCCTCCCCCTTCCTAGCTGTCTCTTTGGAGTTTTCTTTCTCTATTATAGGAGACCTTTTATTTCCTATCAACCTCTCCCAGATGCTTCCCCACCCTATCATCGAAACAAGGCACCTTCAGGAAGATCTGCCCTCATTAGATATGGGAAGATTGTAAATACTCAAATTCTGCTTTTTCTTGCTTCTATAGTGAGCCGTCTTCACCCACCCATGCATTTGTTCATGCCTTAAACAGACATTTCCCTAGTGCCTTCCATGTGGGCTCTGCTCTAGCGGCTGGAGTGAGTAAGGTAGTGCTGCTGGTTGAGAACCTTACTCTGCTTTTGCAATTACATGTCTGCACTGCTGGAGGGAGTATATCTGAGCGCCTCTCTCACTATCATACACCATATACTGTGCCAGTGCTGTCCTGCCAGCCTGTATGCAGGAGAATAATTATACCCATTGTTGAAATCCCCCATCCCACCCCACAGCTACTCCCAAGTGGATTTAGCAACAGCAAGGTATAGATGCCCATAGGGCTGTGAGCTTCTAGAAGGTGGTGACTTTGTCTAAATTGTTATTTCTAAATACTGCCTTGCATAGGATGAGGCATAAATAGAAGCCAGGATTTCTTTTCTCTTTCTGATAAAGAGAACAGCAGCCAAGTGCTGCAGAGCCTGCATGCGAAGGCTTTCACAAAAGGAACAGCTTTGTGAAGTAGTGGGATTTAAGTCCAAGAACACAGGACTGTTTACATTCATCAGGGTGTTTACACATACCTGATGTAGGTATGAATATGTCTACAGTCTTTTTAAGTGCACTTTGGCCATGAAGACCAATGTCAGAAATGTGACAGGCAATTTTAGTCCAAGGAAATAATTGTATATATGGGACAAAAGATGGTGTAGAGGAGCAAAAAACTTTTTCCTGTAATCTTAGGTTCAGTGGCTAAAGCCCTACAAATTAAGCTAACAAAAGACAGATTAACAGGAGAAAAAAGGTATATTTCATATGCAGTTGTGGGAGAGGGCCTCAGAAATGAAGTGAAAACCCCAAAGAAGCCATTAGGCCTGAGAGCGTATATAACATTTTTAACAAAGAGTGATACATTTTGGAAATGTGTCAAGACAAAAAGGGTTTGAACTTCCAGGGGCAGTAAATTGTGGGAGAGTAACTATATGGAAGAAACTAACGGAAAACAGCCATTGCCTAGTAAGATTTGTGTGTACAGATACATCTCAGGATTGGCTCCCTGTCTGCTGGTGTGGGGAGAGCACCTTTCTCATGAGAAATTTATATCCTGTTTTAGGTAGGAAGGAGGAAGGCAGGGAGCTGTTCCTCAGAAACCTGCAGCTCAGAATAATCCTTATGCCAAAGAGGCATATTTTGGGATGCCATATTGTGATCCCTTGCAATGGACACAAAGATACTCAGCCCAGATATTTCATTGAGTATAAAGCTATCTAAATTAGCATTGAGAAGAGAATTTATACAAATAAGTTACAACAGTCCTAAACACATTTAAAATAATTTTGATATTAAGGCTACATACTTCACTTTTTGAGATGCTATTTTATGACCAAAAAAGTGACTGAAAAGGCCATTTAAGGAAAATATAAGCCTTCCTCATTATTCAAGCAAGCTGAAGGAAAGAAGGCAATGGATTGGGGTACTTATCCCCTTTTGTAGGAGGGTTTACTGAATTTATTCATTCAGGTTAACCTGTAATTTAAATGTTCCCTTTTAGAGCAGATGCGGAGGCATTCCTGGGTGATGGTGGGTAGTCAGTGAGCAGGGGGAGGTGGCAGGAGGGGCATCCATCACAACTAACAGTGCTGAATCTCAGGAATTCATCAGGATAGTTACCTGGTCCCTGTGTTAGGTAGAAAGATAGACATGAGCAGCCAGGGAAGGGGAAGGGTTCAAGGAAAAACAGCCCCAACTCTGCCAGGTACGGGGTTCCAGGTGAAGACAAAGGCTTTGCCCAGAGATGACTTCCCTGCCCGTTGGGACCAGGCCAAACCCTTGCCAACCAGATCCCAACGTGGGCGCAATTGAACAGAACTAACGGCCCGACCCAAACCTCATCACGGGAAAGGCCATGTGCACTGAGAGGGGCCGCGGTACAGATGGACGTGTCAGTCAAATGGACCCCTTGTCAGTCACAGAGGCGCCTCCTAGCCAGAACGGTCTACCAAGGTCTCCTGCCTAACGGACGGGGGCCTCTGTCTACCGTGACCCTGGCCTCCTCCTCCCGTGGAGTATGTTCAGTTAAACCTTTTGCTCCGTCTTGTTAATGTGTCTCTGAGTTTCAGTTATTTGGGGTGGGAGGTGAAGGGCACAAGGACCCAGGAGAACAAACTCCACCTGTAACTGAAATCTTATCCCCCCACACACAGACTGAAGGGGGTCATCAGTAATAAACAGTGTGAATTTGGGAGAGTGGTATTCAATCTTGGGCTTTTTGACCTGGAACCTCACTGTCAATGAATCCTGACTGCCGAGAAAGCTGATCACAGATAAGGTGCGGCCATCTGAGGTTTCAGATGCCTGCGGACATTTGAGGTGAGTCCACGTTGTTCCCACAGCAGAGCCAGGAAATCTCTAAAGCACTTGCTCCTCTCTCAACATCCACCTGTCTTCCTCCAGCCTCAGACTGTAGTGGTGACTACCAGTGCTGTTTGCCAAAGTCCTGCTCTCCTTTCCCAGCACTTCTGGCCCTGGCAGTTGAGTGGGGTCATTGGCTTGTTACGGCCAATGAGCTGTGAGTGGCAGTAGTGTGTTTCCTTTCTGACTTTATAATCACCCACGTGGGGCCTTTCTGAGCACTTCTTCACAGGCCTGGCAACTGGCAACATTCAACATGGTGGTTTCTCTGAGGTACTTGGATGGGGAACACCACCCTGCCAAACCACCAAAGACGTGTACTAAAGGAGGAAAGTAAACCTGTGATGTTTAAAAACCACTAAGATGAGGGGGTCTGTTGTGTTCCTGCACCGTAATTTGACCTATCCTGGTTGGTATGTGCACTTTATCCTGTTGGAACTTAGTTTCAGAAATCAAGACCTGCATCTTAGAAGCTCAATCTACTCTTGATCAGATCACTGGGACGATGCTGGTTCTCACTGGCATTCATCTTGCCAGATGCACCAACATGCTTCAGGTCACCCACTGTCCATCCCAGGACACTTCCCATGAGGCATAAACAACACTGGTGAGGTTAGGGCCATTTTACTGTGTATTCACAAACTCAAGAGAGTCCTGTGCACTAATCAATACCACGAAGTGGGGATGTTAGGCAGGAAAATAGGTGTGAGCGGGGTGGAAAGAGAATAAGGCCAGGAAAGCCCAGAGTTAATCAGTTAAAGCTCAAAAAGCCAGGAGCAACTTGGTCTGTAATGTCTGAATATTCCCCAGATAAAGGAGGGTACCCCAGCATAGCCCAAGTCTTTATCGTGTTAATCACACAGGCCCAGCAGCTTATTAGTTTTACCTATACGCTGTTCTTTTCTTCCTCTGCCCTAATCAAATAGTTCGCAAGGGAGGCAACTAATTTAACATGCAGGCCCAGCCGTGAAATAGTAAAAGGTAGGAAGGATCCTATCTTAAAGATAACATTGCATTTTAAAACCCAAGTAGTTGAAAAGTAAGTTTCTTAACTTACTCTTTAGCAAACAGACAGTAACTCAGCCCACCTTGGGGGCTGGGCAGACGGGCTGTCTGATCTGCTCCCAGACCAGACTGGTATCCCAGAGAAAAATCAGAGCAGGAAGTTCCTTGTGTTAAGTTAATTCTAAGTATTCAAAGACCACTTAACAAGTCTGTACCGCAAACCCTTAGTCACATTCCTGAAGAATCCTTAAAAGGGGGAACCACCAACCTTTAGGAGCGCTCCTCTCTCTGAGGTCGCCCACACTTTCAAAGTGTGTATGTAACCTTTTAATCTTAAACTTTCTATCTCCAACCATTCAGGGCACCTCTCCTTGCCGAGGTGGCCTGTACTTTTTCTCTTTAAAAACTTTAAATACAATTTTTACTCTGCTTCACTACTGTGTCTCTGCCCTTCGGTTCTTTGTTATGGCGGGGACAAGGACCGAGGAAAGTACACAACGCTCCCCAAACAGGAACAGAAGTGGAAAGCAGCTTCCACAGAGAGAATTATCTGTAAGTCTCGGGTTTCTGTGACAGGGCAGATTTTCATTCCATTGGTTCATGTGGCTTCTGCAATCCCCCTCCTTTATTTATTGCATTTTAATTGTGACTGGACAGAGATCCATGATAGCAGGAATCCAGGACCAGCAGGTAACGTAAGACTGATGTAGAACCAGAAATAAAAATAGTTAACATGAATGTATTCAGTATTTTCTCCAATAAGGTGAACTCAGCTTGGTTACTTCTACCTGAAAAGTATTGTGAATTATTACTACGCATCCATAAGAGAACCTGTAAAAAGTTCTGCACCTTAAAATCCACCGTGAAAATAAAGCAGTAATACTTTCCAGTTATGCAAAGAGCTTTCTATTTATGAGAGAACTGGGGGAAGTCAGCCGTCAGGTGCAAACTAGAGACAGCTGACCTCTTGGGGAGGTGCTCGGGGGCTCTGTGGCCTCCCTCCAGTTGTCCTTGACACCCTGGCCTTGGGGATCAAGCCCTCTTGCTTAGCATTCACCGCCTAAAGCCTCACCTGTGGGGTGGAAGAGCTCCCCTGGAGGACGTCGGGGGTCAGCTCAGCGGGAAGCACTCAGGACCCTCGCTTTCACGCTCTCTGGTAGACATTTCTCAGGGGGCAGGCCCTACTGCCCGGTTGGTGCTGTGAAGGGTTGCTCAGTGGGAGGGAGAGGGTCAGGAGTGTGGAGGCAGGGTTAGAGGGGCTCTGTCTTACGTAAAGGTTGTAAAGCCCCCGTAAATTATTTTTCTTGGAAGGTGGGGTGAGGTAGGATTCAAACTACTCAAGCAGGAAGCCGCTCAGCCCGGACAGCGGGAGGGGCTGTTAAAGCACGGCAGGGCGGATGGTCAGGAAGGGTTTTGAAGCCTTTAAACAGTTCCTGAGTTTTAGAGTGGGACGCGCTGGGGCTCTAGGCAGTAGAGGCTTATCTGGAAAGATCCTGTTCCTACCTTGCAGAATAAGAAGGCATTGTTTACCAACAATGGACTTTGTTAAATGTGAATGATTAACTACGTTTTGCACTGGAAACAGAGCTGAACTTTCCAGTCCAGAAGCAGAGCATTGAGACTTTAGTGCTTACTGGCTGGGTAGCCTCGGAAAGTTATTAATCTGTTAGGCAGAAAGACAGACCTGAGTGGGGTGGAAAGAGAATAAAGCCAGTAAAGCCCACTAAAAAGGGACTCAGAGTCAACCAGATAAAACCAGAGAGACAGAAAGGACTCACAGAGTTAATTAGTTAAGTAGCTGAAGTTTGAAAGGCCAGGAGTGACTTGGAATGTCCAGATATTCCCCAGATGAAAAACAATTCCCCAGATAAAGAAAATTATAAGAGCGCAGCCCATGTCTTCACTGTACCAATTAGATCAGGCCTCCAAGGCCAAAGATCGTCAGTCAAGGACTTCTCTGTCCTACCCCATGAGGCAGAACAGGGAAATGGGACAAGGGTCATGCCACTGTAAAATCTACTCAGCCTGCAAAAAAGGCCCAGTTTATTCTTTAATTTAATCTATATGCTATTCTTCCTTTTCTTTCAGCCCCCTTAATCAGTTAAGTAACTGTGACCAGGACAGGAGATAAAACTCAGAGGTGTAAATAAACCTGTGTGGATAAAGAGTGCTGAGATCTGGACCAACACAGTCACCTAAATAACCCTATCCTTAAGACAAAACTTCAAAGGAATTCTACATCACCTGTATACTTCATTCCTATGGTCCTACCCAAAAGGCCCTATAAACCCCAAACCTTAAACCTTTAAGCATGCCTCCTAAGGTTGCCCACACTCCCCTTCTTCAAATGTGCACTTTTTGCCTTAAATAAAGACTTCTTACTGCTCAATTTATTATATTTTGTCTCTGCGCTCTTCCAGTGGTAAGCATCTTTGTTACTTTGCTATTTCATTCTATTCTCCAGACTTAAGCACAAGTCTGTACTCTGTTTCTGTTCTACTCCAGACAAGTAAGAAGGGGCCTCTGAGAGCTCTGACTTGAGCTCGCAAGTTCCCATCACCAGGAGAGGGACAGGACTGCAGCTGCTCCATCATGCTCTTTAGCAGCCTGACCAAAATTCTCCTTTCATTGCCTTTGGGACGTTCTCAGAACATAATCTCACTCCATCCAGTGCTCTGTGGCTCCCCCAAATCCTGGGGTAATAGAGGCTTAATTCCTGATCTGAATTTCTTCCCAACAAACCCTCTCAAAACCTTGGTCTCCACCACTAAAAGGGAGTTGCGAGTGTTAAATAAACAATGTATGGAGAGGCTCCACGTCATGGCTGTACTATTACTGGGCTGGGCCAAATAGCATTGTGGGTGTGTGACCTGTGGGGTCACAGGGACCAAGGTGGGAAGGGCCCCCCACTTAGTTGAACACACTGCTGTTGCTGTCTTGCAATTCTTAACAATTCTCTGAGGTGGGTTCCATATTTTTATTTTGTACTGTGCCCTGTGAATTATGTAGTCAGTTCTGCTACCAGGAGAAAATGCCTGCCTTTCAACTAGTCTTAGGATGCCTCTGAGGAATTCCAGTAAATGGCCACCGGTTTGGAGCGCCAGCATTACCCAAAGGGGGAGGCAGAGATGGCACTGTGGTCCCCTGCAGGACTGCGGTACAAGGTCTCTGAGCCCACTTGCTTTGACGGGCCTGCCCCAGCCACCCGGTGCAGGAGAGCTCTTTAAACAAGAGACCTGAAACCCTAGGGCCGGCTCACTCAGGTGCAGCCACATCGGAGCCTTCCACAGACTGATCCCTTGGGAAAAAGCACAGCCTGGAATTCAGGAGTTGCATGAACTCTGTGAAATCAGCCCCGGGTTCCTTGCAAGGGAAAAAAAAAAGGTCTCATCTTTTAAAATGCCTTTAAGCACGTATTAATCATGAGAAGGAAAAAAAAACAATAGAAAATGTTTCAATGAATAAAACCATTGCTGAGGTTGCCTTGAACTCTACAGAAGAGGCTTGTAATTTCCATTTGATATAAATTGTTATTTCTGCTCATGGCTATCATAGAACATTTGTTTCCTTTTGATGGTAAGTGAAAACAAGTGAAATGAAGCATTCATTTAGCAAATCAAGCATTTTCTCAGGTAAGCAGTGGTTATATGTGAACGGCCTATGACAACTGAAACATGCTATACACAGGCTGTAACGGTGCCCAACATCCCGCTTTTCCTCTTTGGCAGTTAAGCGCTCACATGTGCTCTCCCTCTCTCTCTCTCTCTCTCTCTCTCTCTCCCTCTCCCTCTCTCTCTCTCTCTCTCTCTCTCTCTCTCTCCCTCTCCCTCTCTCTCTCTCTCTCTCTCACACACACACACACACACACACCACCTTCCCAAGAAGAGTCACCTGACTTTAGCTATTGTGAGGCTTGTGTAAAATGTTGAGGGGGAGCAGAATACATCACCCCAAAACGTGCCACTTTGGCATGTGGATCATTTTGAGTTGAAGGCAATGAAGACCCAGCAGCCTCAGGAAAAGCTTGTTACCTCTCCCTGAACTCCCTAAAAGTACTGAGATAGCAGGCCTGAGCCAGGAAGAGAGCTACAACCAGAGATAACTTTGTACATCAGAAAGACTTATCTGCATTTGTTTACCAAAGCTGTTTTCAAACATTTGCTCTTCTCAGCTTCCTGTGAATTGCCTCCCTTCTCCTTAGCTCAGGACGGTATATATGCCTCAATTGCCTGACTGCCTCTTGAGTGTCTGTGGAGTTCTTGTGCACATGTACGTAGTTAAATTTGTCTGTCTCCCATTAATCTGTCATCAATTTAATTATTAGACCATCCAAGGAACCTAGAAGGGACAAAGGAAAACTACTTCCTCCCAAAGTTAATCAAGATTCAGGGAAGCCCCATGGGCACTCTAACTCAGAAATTTATGTCAAAGAATTGGAATAAGGAGCCCTCAATTTTGGAAAGAAGATAAATTATTACTTTGGATTGGTTCCACTTTAAAATGTGTAGCATGAAAAAGTAAAAAAATTAATAAATGGGCCAATCTCATCCTACCATGGTAATCATGGCACAATTTAGAAGTATATCAAATCATCACACTGTACACCTTAAACTTACACAATGTTGTATGTATGTCAATTACATCTCAATAAAGCTGGGAAGACAATGAAACAAAAAAAACCCTACTCAAATAGCTTAAATAATAAGGAAAAATTATTTCACCTAAGGGGTCTCAAGGTAGGATGGCTGTAGGGTTGGTGTGTGGATCCCAAGAACCCTGTGCTGTCACACAAACTGGCAGGCTTAAAACAACAGAACTGTATTATCTCAGTTCTGGAGGCCAGTTGTCCAAAATCAAGTTGTCAGCAGAGCTAAGCGCCCTCTGAAACCTGTAGGAGAGATTCCAGTCTCTACCTCTGATGCCACATGACTGTCTTCTTTCTGTGCCTCTCTCCTCTTCCTGTAAGGACAGCAGTCATTTGGGATTTAGGGCCACCATATTCCAGTACGACCTAATCTAACTAATTACATCTGCAACAATCCTATTCCAAATTAGGTCACATTCTGGGGTACTGGGGGTTAGGATATCAAATACCTTTTTTCGGGGACACAATTCAACCCCTAACAGACCCTTTCCATCTTTCTGCTCTGCCATTCTCAACCTGCTGGCTTGCCTTCAGGCTGTTCTCCTCACGGTCAGTCCCAGTTACAGCGACCCCAGGCATCACAGCCAATATAAATGTCCACCAGATGAAGTGGGATCAAAAGACATAACTTTTAGAAGCAAGATCCCTCCTGCAGTGGACTTCCTCTCATTTGTCATTAGCCAAAATGTCATCACATATGCATGCCCACATATCACTGGGAAGAGGAACAAGACCACTCATCATGACTGGCTTGCACTAGTGGTTCTCAATTTGAATTTGCATCAGGTAACTGGGGGGCTTGTTAAAACAGTGCTGGGCTCTGCTCCTAGTGCATCCCATTCAGTAGGTCTGGTGTGAAGTCTGAGAACTTGAATTTTTTTACAAGTTCTCAGGTGAGGCTGATGCTACTGGTCTTGAGACCACACTTGGAGAACCAGTGGTTTACACTAATCAGGATTCATCCCAGAGGACTGGACTCCACTCTTGGGAAACGCATTGCCACTTCGGAGGGAGGATGCCTGAACAGAACCAGGGCTGTATCAGAAAGGAACAAAGAGGAGGAAACTTGGGTGGGCACCCAGTAATGCCAGCCACAGAGTGGCCAGAGAACAGCTAGGAAGAGGTAGGAACGTGTCCAGACAGGGGAGAAGAAAGTCAGAATGAAATGATGTCAAGGGAGTTGTGAAGAAGAGATTCAAGAGGAGAGTGGCCAACACTGTTGATGTCACAGGGCCAGAAGGGCTGAAAAGTGTCCACTGGATCGGACAACTCAACTAGATCTTTATTGATCTTAGCAAGAGCAGTTTTATTTTGAAGACAACACATGGGACCAGTTATACAAAATGCAGTCGATTACATATCATTATCTGCCAAATACTAGAGCAAATTCCTAGAGTTGGGACTGGCTTTTCTGGAATCCAGGTAATTAGGTAAGTGATAAGAGGAGGCCATAGGGCTTCGATTTACTGCCCAACAGTGAAGTAAGTGTACTGTAGAGACATAACTTAGTATTCTGAGCTCAAGTTCAAACAGCCACATCGTAAGTCCTAGGTTACAGATAAAAGGTCATGATTGTGGGAGAAATGTTTACAGTCATCTATTTGCCAGTCCATGCATGTCTCCACGCATTCAGATATATCTAGTTACACATCAGCCTCCTGCCTACTCCTATCTATGCACATCCATTGTCTAGCTTCTCATATATACGTAGTTACCTATAGACAATCCAGTTCTGCCACTTGCTACTGCAACACCTCTCTTGGCCTCCATTTTCAGGGCAGTGAAATAGAGATAATAATGGAAACTCGGAGTTGTGTGGATTAAGTGAGATAATGTGCATAAATAAAAATAAGTATGTGTGTAAGGTAATTGTTATTATGGCTACACGTTTTATTTTCTTCACACAGCATTGCCATTGCCAGCTAGCATTTGACTCCCAAGTGTTGGAGTACAATTTTTAAAGTCTACGTATTCTATATGGTTCCAACTATATGACTTTCTGGAAAAGGCAAAACTATGGAGACAGTAAAAAGGTTGGTGGGTGCTAGTGTTACCGGCTGTTACCGATTCTTCTCGGACCAAGTAGGGAGTTTCATAAACAAAGCCAAAATACACTTGGAAAGGGGTCCAAGTGGGCAACTCCAGAGGGTCCTAGAGCCCTGCTTGGTCACAAATTTGGCATTTTTATAGGCCTGTAACTTCCTGCTCTCTGGTTGTCCTACCCCAGACTCTCCAAGACTCCGCTCTGTGCCAGACAACAGGTGAACCAATGCAGGCGCTGTTCTTGTCTATGTTCAGGCAGGTACTGCAAGTGCTGCTCATTTTGAGGTTATGCACATACCCGTTTTGGTTAGTTTGCCCATACCAGTGCAAGGTCTGATAGCAGTCAAACTCTGCCATTTTACCTTCATCTGAGCATGTCAGGCTACACCTGGGTGCTCGGGCACGATGCTCCAACCAAGAGTAAGTTCTGCTAGGGTTGAGGTATTCTGAATTCTGACGACATACAGGCTGGTGATGGAGGGTGGTGTTTTCCATGTCCCCCATCTGCTCCTGGCTCGCATCTGTCTGCCGACCCTAACACCAGGAGTTGGGAGCGGGACAGGGATCAATCAGTGGAGCACAGAGGATTTTCGGGGCAGTGAGATTACTCTGTGTGATACTATAAAGGTGGATGCATGTCATTCTACCTTTGTCCAAACCCAGAGAATGTGTAATATAGAGTGAACCCTGATGTAAACTGT